TGATGTGTGCTTATTTCTGATTGTAGATTGAAAGGCCTTTCTTAATGCATGTGTGATAAAGGTGAATGTTCCCTTGTCTATGAGAAATAAGCTAAGGATGAGACCATAAGATGGTAAGTATGATTATGATGGCCAAAGGGGATACTTAGCATTGATGGGATTATGGGGTCTCATTCATGCATTGCACAAGTATACTTGGAGGTTACTTATGAATTTGCTCTCTTATGATATTAAGGTTTAAGTATTGACTGTATATTGACTATGCCTTAAGATGCCTAATGTTTACATTGTGTCTATGTTGAGATTATTCTTATGATGATGTTGTTATCTGTTATACTTTTTGTAACAACTCGAAAAATGATAGGTTGAACCAGAGCCTTGATGTTTGGGTTAGTTTGACTTTAGGTTGGTGTCTATACTATTTTATAACCTATGTGGGGCAAGGTGTAAGCCTTGGGTGCAAGCAACGGCCTACGCTTGCAAGATAGAGTGAAAGAAGCCTTGTTCCTAGATGGGCTGTTTGGCGATGGGCTGCTTGATCGCCCAAGGGGTTGAGCTAGTCGCCCTTGTGCCCTTGTGATCACCTAGTGGCTGCCCTATCTAGCCAAGATGCTGGACCAAAGGGCGAGCTAGGTGCAAGCTCATCAACCAGCTTGGCGTGTCGCCCTTCTCCCCTCCTGTCGCCCAGTGACCAGTCCACTTACTAAGCTCACTGGAACAAAGGGCGGACCAAGGGTGAACTTGGCGAGCCCAAGTGTCTAATTGGCGAACTAAAATGGGCAAGGGCAGAAATTTTAAGTTAAAATGTTGAGGGTCCTTAACTCTTTTCCAAAATTGACCCTACAGTATTCCATTCTTTTCCTAGCAACTATATAATATCTTAAGACCTAAATTCCTTTCATTTAACTCATTCCAAATAAAATAAAACGAAAGTCTTCCTCTCTCGATAGTTCTCTCTCTAGCTCAAGGAAGAATAAGAAGAGGTGAAAGTTAGGGTTTGGTTATTTCAAGGTGGTTCATCCTCAAATTTCTTGGAGAATCTTATTAAAGGTATGGTGATCCTTCATCTAGGGTTAGATTTCACCCTAGAGTCAATTTCAAAGAAGTTTTCAAGGTTTTCAAGTTTCACCAAAAACCTAGATTACACACAACCTCATGGTTTCTTGCATCAAACGTTATCAAATGACAAGTTATGATTATATTGATTTTTAATTGAGGATTTAAGATGAAAAAATCTATGAACCCATGATTTCTCTAAATTCCTAAATTTGTCCTTATGAAGTGGGTTTATTGATTATGAATGAATAATGATGGATTTATGATTAGGTTGATTTAGATTATTGATTTGTATCATTATCTATGTCTAGTTGTCGAGAATTGTTGGTGAATTGAGGATTTTTGATCATAGCCTTGAAAAGGGAAAGTTGACCTAATTTTATGTTGAATATAGAATTGTGATTAGATTGTTGATCCACTTGAAAGGTGGAGGTGTTTACTCACTATGTACATTGTGATCATGGCCTTGAATGCATAATTTGATGGAGTGAAGTATTATCATGATGTTGTATATATGAATGTGATGTGACCTAAGGGAATGAAAGATAATGTTGTTTAGAAGCTACTTGTGTTAGGATTGAATGTTATCTCTCTATTAACACTTATGAATGATGGTGATTATGTGGAAGGCTGTTCTCACATACATACACACATGAATGAATGAATGAATGAATGAATGAAGTTTAATGTTAATGTTAATGAATGTGAATTACTATTTGAAAGGCGATTCTCATACTGTACTCTAATGAATGTAATGACTTGTTGTGAAATGACTTTCTCACAATAAAGGGGTTCTTAGGTGAAAGGCTATTCTCATATTTGAATCTATGAGCTTTCCAATGAATGAATGTTGGTTGGGATGGATGCTCATCCGGGAGTTGAGGTGGAGTGTCTAGTAACAATCCCTATATCCCTTTTTAACAAATGTTGGGTTTGAGATAGATACTCATCCATGAGTTGAGGCGGGGTAGTATCTAGTAGCAATCTCTTATCCCTTAATGAATCAATGTAATTAATGTCAAATACTCCATCGGAAATAATGCTAAGCACCGAGAGGATATGAAATGGGGTGGATACTTATCCGGGAGTTGAGGTGGGGTATCTAGTAGC